CAGTCTCTCATGTAGGTGACAGGGACCCAGATACTTTTGCCATCACCTGATGTCTCCCAGAACACACACTGCCAGAAAAGCTGGAACTGGTGATGGATCCAGAATTCAAATCCTGGCACTGTAACACAAGACACAGACATCCCAAGGACTGACTTAACTCCCACACCAAATGTGTGCCCCCAAGAAAGCTTTTAGCACTGACGAATGATACCCAAAGGCTGTTAAAAAGCCTAAAGCTAGTATTAGGTGATCTTTCAAAACTAAAGGAAAACTCCCTTGGATTTTTTTTGCATATCTTCCTTTCCCTTCATTTAGCATAATATAACAATTATGACAAGTTTTCCTCTCCAATCTCTTCATTTGTAATGCCTAACTGAAGTCCAGTCCTGATTTCATAATATGAGTACAGGCCAAAAACAATCCTTTTTCACTGGTTAATAATATATGTCTGCTTAGTAACAATTCATGTCAACAGAAATAAATAGTAAATGACATCAGTAATAACCAAAAAACACCCCTTGATAATCTTAAATTTTCTCTCCACATTAGTCACATAAAAAAATTTAAAGAAACTCAAACTCGGCCGGCGCCGCGGCTCACTAGGCTAATCCTCCGCCTAGCGGCGCCGGCACACTGGGTTCTAGTCCCGGTCGGGGCGCCAGATTCTGTCCCGGTTGCCCCTCTTCCAGGCCAGCCCTCTGCTGTGGCCAGGGAGTGCAGTGGAGGATGGCCCAGGTGCTTGGGCCCTGCACCCCATGGGAGACCAGGAAAAGCACCTGGCTCCTGGCCCCTGCCATCGGATCAGCGCGGTGCGCCGGCCGCAGCGCGCCGGCCACGGCGGCCATTGGAGGGTGAACCAATGGAAAAGGAAGACCTTTCTCTCTGTCTCTCTCTCACTGTCCACTCTGCCTGTCAAAAAAAAAAAAATAAATAAAATAAAAAAGAAACTCAAACTCTGTGACAATAGGGAAAATCCTCCACACTGTAAATCATCTAAGACAAGAATATTTCAAATACATCTGCCTATTCCATCAATTTAAAAATATTCTAGAATGCACTGGTAATTATTCCTTTTAATTTATTAAAACCAAGGTAAGAGTTTTTATTGGAAATGACAAAAAATCAATAATTAAAATACATAAACTATACCACCAGACAACATTTTGTCCCAGCAGGATTACAGGAGTGCCCAGCCACTCTCCCAGGGTGCAGCCCATCGTCTGTGTGCTGGCTGCTGCTTCCCAGACCCTCCACGAAAAGTGAGGGCCCTGTCAGACACTGCGGTTGCAACTTGAAATGGATGTTCACTCCTACCACAACTTGTAGCCACAGTCTCATCAGCACCCAAATAACAAAGCCAGCTCAATGCTGTGGACCACAACCTCCAGGCAAGAGAGAATGGTCCTGGCACACCCGCCATCTGGCTCTCCATCCACACTGACAACACCTGGACACTCTCAACCCAGCACGACCAGGATCATCAACTCTGGAAGCTGGCGGTTCCCAGATGATGCAGGGAACTCACTGCTAGCAGGCAGCCTGTCCCCAGGTGAAAAGCTGACTGCCAGGCAATGGCCGTGGATAACTAGCACCCAAAGAATATTGACTCCTCACCCTCCCTTTCCTCTGGATGCCATGATGCAAAGGCAGGGGTATGGGGAGCATCTCTGTGTGCAGGCCATGAAAACCTGAGAGGCCCACTGGCTCCAAGGTCCCCCACACTTCCCCGCCCATGGTCTGAGGCTTCTTCGCCACTTCCTCTCTGCTGCTGCCTGCTTCTCTGCACTACCCAACACACTGCCACAGTCAATGCCACCTCCAAACTGCATGTCCCTGCCCACGATGCCCCATGCTCCACCAACGCAGACTCACCTTTCCCAGCCTACACCGCCTCACACTTCCAAGGCACCGCTGCTGCCGCCGCCCATGAGGAACTACAGTTCAGCGCCGCTGCCTCTCTTCTCACCAGCTCCCCCGCCACCTGGTGCTCCCTAGCTGCCCTCTGTGTTGCTGCCGCCACCATAGACTTACACCTCCCTGCCTAGGAAGCCCCACACTTCAGCAAGGCAGACTTAGAGCCATGCTTCCCCACCAACAACCAAAACCGTCCCACGGGTCACTGCCACCACCTACTTAACCCTGGCTGCTCAATGTGTCCCTGTCGCTGACCACCCCATGCTTCGCGGAGTCACTGCTGCCTCATCCTTCTTCTCCGCTGCCCACCGCCGAACTGTGCTTCCCTGCCCATGACACCCCACAGGACGCTGATGCCCACACCCACACCGCTACCCACACAGACGCTGAAGCTGCCACCGCTGCGGCCAACACGGAACTGAGCAAAGCTGCCGCCACGGCCTGGTTCCCGCCGCTGAAGACTTCTGCTCCCCTGCTCTCCCAGAATGCCGCAATCCTCACCGACAGGAACACTGAGCCAGGCTTCCCCACCCAGGACGCCGGATGCTTCCCCACTGCCAACCTCACTGCCACTGTGCTATGGGTTGCAGATGCAGACCTGTGCTGCCTCGCAGATGGCCACAGGCTATGGAGTCGCCACTGCTGCTCCGTCCTTCCTCTCCACTGCCCGCCGCGGAACTGTGATTCCCTGCACATGACTCCCCATCCAAGGCTGACGCTGATGCCTCCAAGGCCTCTGCTACCAACACTGAAGCCCCTGCTGGAGGACACAGACCTGCGGCCACTGCCGCCCCTTGGTTCCCCACTGCTGCCAGATAGGCAGCCACCACCGAAGTCTTCTGCTTCCCCGCCCCTGATGCTTCACGGCTGCCACCACTGCCTGCTTAGCCATTGCTGGCCAACATGCACCACCGCCACTGGTGGTACACACCTGCTCTTCCTGGCCAACCGCCCAACACTGCCCAAGTTGTCGCCACCGCATCCTTCTCTCCGTGGCTGGCCACTGAACTGTGCTTCCCCGCCGGTTCTGCGGATACTACCAACGCCAAGGCCTCATGCACACAGGCACCCCACAGGCACCAATGCAAAAGCCTAGGCTGCATGGGATGCCACTCCCACGCCGACGAGGCCGCGGCCAGCCCAGGTTTTCTCTAACTTTCTTAGCGGGCCAGTGCTTTGCCGCTGGATCACTGAGCGCCGGGCCGTGTACTTGGGACTGCTGGGCAGACTCCACTCTCCTTACTCCTTACGGGGTGTCAACAAACGGTGAGTGTACCTGGCCGCAGGGAAGGGGAGGGACAGCTGAGCTGGGGGTCAAGCAGACAGGGAAGTGGAAGTGTCTCTCACCAAGGGGAGTGGGGGACCGGGGAGCCCCAAGGTCACCGATGGTACATACCTGCATTTCTTCACTGACGGCCAGACACTTACCCAAAGTCGCGGCTACCGCCAGTGTATCCTTCTCTGCTGCCCGCAGACAAACTGAGCGTCCCCACTCTCCCACAACGCCCACGCGTTGCCAGCATTTGGGGAGTAAACTGGAATAGCAACTTAAAAGAAAAAAATAGGGGCTGGCGCCGCGGCTCAATAGGCTAATCCTGCACCTCGTGGCGTGGCATACTGGGTTCTAGTCCCAGTTGGGGCGCCGGATTCTGTCCCGGTTGCCCCTCTTCCAGGCCAGCTCTCTGCTGTGGCCAGGGAAGGCAGTGGAGGATGGCCCAGGTGCTTGGGCCTTGCACCCCATGGGAGACCAGGAGAAGCACCTGGCTTCTGCCATCGGATCAGCGCGGTGCGCTGGCTGCAGGTTGCCGGCCGCAGCGGCCATTGGAGGGTGAACCAACGGCAAAAGGAAGACCTTTCTCTCTCTCTCTCTCTCTCTCTCTCTGTCCACTCTGCCGAAAAAGTTTTCCATAGGAGTACTAAAATATGGTCTACTATTAAATATAAATTAATAAATACTAATACATTAATATGTTCAAATATCCGAACTCTATACCAAGTTTAATTCCAGGAATTAAAGGAAGACCTAGAAATCTAAAAGTAGATGGGGCCAGCCTTTTGTCATAGCAGTTTAAGCTGCTGCTTCAATGCCGATATCCCATATGTGTGCTGGCTCCCATCTACTCCCGTGCCAATTCAGCTCCCTGCTGATGGCCAGGGAAGCAGCAGAGGGAGGCCTAAATGCTTGGGCCCCTGTGACCAACGTGGGAGACACAGAAGAACCTTCTGGCTCTTGGCTTCGGCCTGGCCCAGCCCTGGCCACTGGGGTCACTTGGGGAATGAACTAGCAGATGAAAGATCTCTGTCTCTCCCTCTCTCTCTTTCAAATAAATAAACAAACCTAAAATATATAACTATATATAATGTATAAAAACTATATATAACTCAGCTCATCCCATTTATAGATTAAAAAAAAAAACAAAAAAGATCATTAAAATATGTTAATGTTGATATTTGCTAAAATTCAACAAGCAACCCCTAACAAAATAAGACCGAGTAAATACTTCTTTAATCAGAAATATTCAAAGACATGTATTACCATCACTTTTCTTTAACACTCCGCAAATGTTAAAGTTGCCAAGTGTTAAAAATTCTTGATAGCTTAACTAGTACTCAAACAGTATTTTACACTTAACGTTCTGTGTGGGTGCAAACTGTTGAAATCTTTACTTAATATATACTAAATTCATCTCTGTATATAAAGAGAATTGAAAATGAATCTTGATGTGAATGGAATGGGAGAGGGAGCGGGAAATGGGAGGGTTGCGGGTGGGAGGGGAGTTATGGGGGGGAAGCCATTGTAATCCATAAGCTGTGCTTTGGAAATTTATATTTACTAAATAAAATTAAAAAAAAGAAAAAAATTCTTGATAGCTAATAAGCAATTATAAATAGTACTTATAATATTTTTATAAAAAGTGAATAAATACAGGTTACTTATGTATGTTGCTGTGTTTTTTTTCTGAACAACAGTGTATTTCTGCAAGACAAAAAAGTGACTTCAGCTCTAACACATGTAGGCTACCAGAAAAGACAAGCATTTTGGAGACCTTACAAGAAATATTACAGGATATTTTTGCTTTACTTACCCTGTAATATGGTCAATGCTGACGATTTGCTTCTGGTTCCTTATGATCTCAATGGCTGCCCAAAGATGCTGGATAGCTTTTGTATCTGCCTGTTGTCTTTTTGTTAAGCATGCCCTGACCTGTTTACTTCTTTAGCTGTAGTGACAGACAAAAACACATGCAAAAGAACACCAATTACAAGATGAATTGGCAACATAGTGAGTAACAAGTAGGTTAATAACAGCCCTCAACTTGTATATTCATTGTCTGTCTTCACTAGGACATAGCTGGTATTCAACAACACAATTCATTCAGGATCACAGTACTTAAAATGTCAAAAGAAAGGACTCAAGTACAAAAACCACTGTATTTCTCTCAGAATTAGCAAATAATAGTTTACTGAAACTTAACATACTTAAATTAGAAAGATTCACATTTAGGGGCTGGTGCTGTGGCATAGCAGGCAAAGCTACCACCTACAGTGCTGGCATCCCATAAGAGCACCAGTTCAAGTCCCCGTTCCTCCACTTCCAATCCAGCTCTCTGCGATGGCCTGTGAAGGCAGTTGAAGATGGCCAGGGTCCTTGGGGCCTTGCACCCATATGGGAGACCCTGCAGAAGCTCCTAGCTTCAGATCAGCGCAGATACTGTGGCCATCTGGGGAGTGAACCAGCAGATGGAAGACCTCCCTCTCTCTGCTTCTGCCTCTCTGTTAACTCTGCCTTTCAAATAAATACTTCTTATTTTTTTAAATGATATATATTTAAGAAGTGGCAGACAAGAATACTAACATGACTTTTAACTTCAATGCTTCAATGAAGGTGCTTGCATCTCTATGAAGCAGCTGCTTAAATCAAAGAGGTCAGGCCCACATATACGATTGTATAGTTGCTACCATAGATCAAATCTTCATTATTTTATACGTATGTTACTAAAAGCAAGGAAATCATAAGTTATTCCCTGCAATCAATTTCCATGTATGGTTTCCACTCATTAAAATACCACTAAATAAAACTGCTGCCAGGGACACACTACTCCCTGAGGTTATCATTTCCTGAAATCTTTGCATATCTACATTGGACAACTGAAATATACTTTGAGGACACAGGCATCAGCCTCTCAAATCTCAGTTGTACAAAAAAAAGGACAGCCCCAACTGTTTCAATTTCATTAGGACAAGAAAGGCATCCACATTCACCTTGGAATCATATATTTGATCAAATGTTCAGTGGAGGAACTCTTTTCTTTTTTTATTAAATTATTTTTAAAACCTTAACTGATTCTTTTTTCCACTTTTTAACCTTTTTTATGAAAGAAACCTTGAAAATTATTAGAATGATAGAATACAGCAGTAAAGTACTTGGCACATTACTGAGTTAGTAACTACAGGACGAAAACGTAAGGAACTAATTCCTTATAGGCATTCACTAAGGGGAGAAAGAGGAGGGGAACAATCCTCTTTGCAGCGGTTAGCCAAACAGTTAAGAGGCTAGGAAGAGGCCTATGTAGGTCCAATAAGAGAGTGCCTGGGTTTAATTCTGGGATTCCAGCTTCCTACAAACATGGTTCCAGTGAGGCAGCTGATGCTGACTCCAGTAGTTATCTCACAGCTGCCCCACTTGGGAGACCTGAACTGTGCTTCAGGGCCTTGGTTCCCAGCTTCAGCCTGGTCATGTTGCAGGAGCTGTAGGAATACTGGGATTGATCCATCTATGGGATCTGTTCTTGTTTGAAATGGCGCATGCCTGTTTCTCTTCTTTCTCTTATGAATAGTTTTTAAGACAGAAGAACAACCAATCCCTTCTCTGTTTTAACATCAACTAGTGCTTATTTTAAAAAATCACACACACACACACTCACACATAAATAAACATAAGAGACCATACCTGCTGGTGGTCATGGTCTCTCGGGAGTCGACGAGGCTGTCTGTCCCGCTGATGGGAGGGGTGGTGTGTTGCTGGAGATGCCACCATACACGGCTATGGGGGCGCTGAGAAGGTGGACATGGCTGGGAGACCACTGGTGACCTTGGCTCCATGCGGCTAGTAGTCCATATGCTCCTAGTACATGCTACCAAATGCACTGTGGCCTCAAAACCCATCACCACTGCCCATCCAGAGGGGCAGGCGGATGAGCTCCCGCCCAGCATGGGCCTGAAACCATCCTTGTTTGAGGGGCTCTGGAGCTCCAAGGAAGGGTGCAGGCTGGCCAGTAGAAGGCTGCAGAGCAGGTGCTACAGGGAGTCTTGGCAGATGGGTAGACACAGGCATCCCTGCCTTAGTCATCGCTTAAGCTGAGGTGGAGGTGGGAGGGTACAATGAGGAAGGAAGAAGAAATAGAATCTTCTGGACATTCTTGGTCGGTGGGCCCAGTGGCCACCTGAGGCTCTGCCCCAAGGGTTGCCAGGTTAGGAGGCATTGTACTGGGCGCTACCCTTGATATCTGAGAAGGAAGGACAATGGCCCGGGGCTGCGGAGGGCCTTCTCGCCAGTCAGGAACCTGACCTGAGTCAAGCCACCAAAAGCCGTGTCTCTCCAGAAGGTGGGGTACCCGCCCACTGGCCTCCCTTGCCTCCAAGTCTAGGTCCAGGTCCCAGGAATGTGAACCAAGAAAGGCTGCTGTGGGACTCACTGAAGTGGGTCCTTCACTGTAGCTTTTGTCGGGGTCAAAGGAGGAGGTGTTCTGGTCGCCAGCATCCCAGGAGCCTGAGCCTGGGATTCCTCCGGACCTGCTCCTCAGAACTGTGCGCTGGCCAAGGAGACAGGCCAGCCCTTTCCACTGGCCATGGGCAGCAGGAACATCATGCTGAACTCCAGGAGATCACTGAGCACCTTGTCTGAGCCCATGGGTGCTATTATCTGGGGGTGTTTCATTCTCCGGTGGTTGCAGCCAGTGCAGGGACCAGGGCAGGCTCCTTAGACCTGCAGGGCATTGCTGGGCTCCCAGCTCCCAGAGTGCAGCGGCATGTAGCAGGGCTTCCCAGGACAAAGTGGCATCGCAGCCGAGCCCCCAAGAGTCACACGTGGGCAGCAGGGCCCTGGCCTCTTCCCCGATGCGGCCACTGAAACTGCTTCAGATTCCTGGTGTGGGAGCAGCCCTGAGCCACCTACCCAGGCCAGTCTAGCCTGTGCTTCTATGTCAAAAAGTAAATAACAAAACCTGTCCCCAATACAATGCCACACAGTACTTCTCCTCTGGTTTTCTACAAGCAGTTAATATCCAGACTATACAATTATCTCAAAAAACCCAGGGCTAAAAAAAAAACCCCAAAAAACAACAACAACAAACAAACCCAAAAAAACCACCAATTTTTAAACTAGGCTGAAGAACTTAACATACTCATATCAAAACAAGACATGCACGTGTCCAATAGTTCATGAAAAATTCTCCACATCATTAATCAACAGAAAAATGCAAGTTAAAACCAGAATAAGATTATCACCTCACTCCAGGTAGAACAACTATCATGAAGAAAACAAAAAATAAAAAAGGGTAGCACGGATTTCAAGACAGGTGAAATTTTTAGTGTTTTGTGGGAAAGCAAATTAGCACAACCATTATGGAAAATAGTATGGGAGTCTCTCTAACAAAACGGAACTGAGCAAAATCCCGCAATTCCATTACTGGGTATACGTCCAAAAGATAAGACTTCAGTGCGTCAAAAGGATATCTCCATTCCATGCTCATGGCAGTGCTACTCACAACAGCTGAAATATGGAATCGGCCTATTACTGTGATTCAGGAACTGGATGTACACAGTATGATATATCCACAAAAGACACCAAGCAATGAAATGCCACCCAGAACATATAAATAATTGTGAAGAGTGAAGAGCATCAATACCACCAGATGGCCGCTCCTAAATGATTACATATGACAACTTTCTTTTCAAGAACTAGCCCTCTCTAACCTGACTGCCATCCTGTTTCCTCAAGAAAATTTTTCGTATATTTAGAAATAGAATAAATTAGGTAAGTTTGTCTCCACTTTCATATGCAAATGTAATTTTAACTAAATTTTTCAAAAATTTTAGTTAGCATTATCATTAAGTCTTAATGCTAACATTGAGTAAAATAGGAATAATATGGCTTACATTGGAAAAATCATTTACTGTGTGATAGAAGCACCAAAACCATTTGTAAATTCAGTCTGCATAAGCTGGAAAGAAGGAGTAATGCAGGAGGGCTGTAATAGATTCCTCATGGCTTCATTTAATAATAGATTCCTAACATCTCATCATCAACCCCTTCTTCAATGGAAATGCAAGTAGGAAAAAATGTTAAATTGGAAATTCTGGGGCCAGCAATGTGGCATAGTTGGTAGGGCCACCACCTGCAGTGCCAGCACCCCATATAGGTGCTGGTTTGAGTCCTGGTTGCTTCACTTCGATCCAGCTCTCTGCTATGGCCTGGGAAAGCAGAAGAGGATGGTCCAAGTCCTTGGGTCCCTACACCAACCTGAGAGACCTGAGGGAAGCTCCTGGCTCCAGATAGATGCAGTTCCAGCTGTTGTGGCCATTTGGAGAGTGAACCAGCAGATGGAAGACTTCTCTCTTTCTCTGCCTCTGCCTCTCTGTAACTCTGCCTTTCAAATAAATTAATTAATAAATATTAAAAACAAAGCCTGAAATTCTTATTCTCCATGATATTCATAGGCTTTTTTGCCTTACAAAGCCTACTGTTTGAGTTCTCCTACTAGGCATATGTGTGTCGTCTCCCTGAAATTGAGTATAAGCCAACCTACTTGAGGATTAAGGCCAACCCTCAACAGACCATACCTTCCATTTTCTAAACTATATACAAATTTCAACATTAAAGTAATTTAAAATATACAATGGCTACCTTTAATTCAAGCAAGCTAACAGTATATACATTATGTACCTCTCAATGCATACTAACCTCTGTATCTATGGTTTCAAAGTTATCACAATAGCTTAAACATGATTTTATGACATCAGGGCCATAGCAAAAAAATCTCAAGATGTTTTAATAATTTAAGTAAATATTTACCTTTGCCCTTAATATGCTTTCTTTCAAATGCTTCTACAACAGGTAAACCTTTAAAAGGGACTCTATGCCAATGGTTTTCATTCTATTTCAAATTGTATCCACAGGGTAAAACTCCAAATTAGATACATTTTCTATCCCAGCAGCAGAGTCTGGAACTGTTCTGTATAAAGTAAGTGAACTAAATGTTTGCCAGTAGTGATTGGAAATCTGTGACAGATATCAGTGTAGACCAGACAAACCAGAACGAGCAAGAATGGTATGGCAAAATTCTTGGTAGTTTGTCAAGAAAACCTAAAATCAGTGCTACAAATGAGGCATAGTGGGTCTATGTTACTTAGCTGCAGTAGGAAGAGGCTTCATGACTGTCACCCAAGGTTTACTGCACTTTTTGAGAAAGAAGGATGCAGTTTCAAAATCAGAGCCATTTATCTATGTTTTCTCCAAGTGAAATACCATGTTGATATTTTAGAACCTAACGTTATTTAGTTACACAATTCTGACATCAAACACCATGAGGTTTTATTTGAATTTAATGCATGACTGCATTCCTTAATTGATTCATTTAAGCACATATTCAGGTGAGGCCGTATAGAAGAGTTGGCAGGTGAGGCACAAGTGGAGGACTCAAAGGAGGGTAAGGCTGCAGTGGAGAAACAGGACAATAAGACTGGTGTGGAGGACTAGGAGGGACGTGAGGCTATCATGGAGGCCCAAAGGAAAGGCTTGTGTTGAGAACCACAGTGAAGGCTAGGCTTAGGTGGATGACTATAGGGAGGGTAGAACTGGTTGGGAGATCACCACAAGGGTTATTCCAGGGATGAGCCACAAAAGGAAGGTGAGGACAGTGTCAAGGAATAGAAAGAATGCGAGGCTGGCATAGAGAATGAGGAGAGTGAGGGTGGCATTGATGAGGAGGAGGGAGAGGGTGGCACTGAGGATGAGAAGGAAGTTGGAAGTCACAGTGGCATACAAACAGTGCAAAGCCAGGATGGAGGCCCACAAGGAAGATGAAGCTAGTGTAGATTACCACAGGAAAGGTGAAGTTATGGCAGATTTGGTGGATGAAACCCTTGTGAAGCGCTAGAAGAGTGAGGCTATAGTGAACCAACAGGAGAGTAAGATTGGAGTGGCATGGAGGACCAGGGGGAAGATGAGGCTGGTACTGAGGACCAGGGGAGAGTGAGGCTGGTGTGCAAGGCCAGGAGAGTGAGGGTTGGCTGGAGGGTCAGAAGGAAAGTGATTCTAGTATGGCAGCCAGAAGGAAGCTGAACCCAGTGTGAATTACAAAGGGTGAGAGGCCAGGATGTAGGCCCCACAAGAGGTTGAGGCTGGTGTAGAGTACCACAGACAGGTTGAGGATATGGTAGAAAACTGGAAAGATGAAATGGATGTGGAAGTCTAGAAGACGGGTGCAGTTGTAGGGGGAAATAAGGGAAATGCAACGGAGGTGGAAGATAAGGATAAGGTGTGGTTGTTTTTGTGGACCAGAGGTAGAGTGAGGCTGGCCTTCACAAGAGGGTGAGGCTGGTGTGCAGGACCAACCGGGATGATGAGGCTGGTATGGAGGTGGGGAGGAAAGTGAGTCCAATGTTGTGGGCCAGAAAGAATGGGAGGATATATAGAGAGGATGGAGTGGGAGGCAAGTATGTAGGCCCTCAAGCAGGTTAAAGCTAACAAAGAGTAGGAGGGATGGTGGTGCAATGGTGGAAGACTGGGTGGATGAGGGTCCGGTAAATGACTAGAATGTAAGGCTGCAATGGAGAAAACAGAAGCAGAATGAAGGCATACACAAATTACAACATTTTTAATGACATATGAGAGTAAGTGATGCAGTTGGGAACCAAACTCTGGATTGAAATCCAAATTCCATACATTACCAAGCACCACTTTTGATTCAATTTCCTGGTAATGCACATACAAAGGCAGTCAATGCTGACTCAGTCATCGGGTTCCTTTCCACCAATGTGGGAAGCTTGGATTGAGTTCCCGGCTCCTAGTTTTGGCCTGGCCCAGCCCAAGCAGTTGCAGGCAGTCCAGCAGTGAAGTAGCACAGGAAAGAAACGTTGTTGGGATTACTTTACCAAGCAGGTCTGACCGAAGTGATTTTCACAAAAGAACTCCGTTGCATTAGAAATGGACCTGATAGGAGCTGGCACTATGGCTTGGTGGGTTAAGCCACAGCCCACAATGCCAGCACCCCATGTGAGCACAGGTTCAAGTCCCAATGCTCCACTTCATTCCAGCTCCCTGCTAATCTGCCTGTGAAAGCAGCTGATGAGGGCATAAGTGCCTGGGTCCATGCACCACTTTGGGAGACCCGAATGCAGTTCCAGGCTTCTGCTTTTGGCCTGGCCTAACCCTTTCCATTGTGGCCATTTGGGGAGTGAAATAGCAGATGGAAGATCTCCGTGCCAACTCTGCCTTTCAAACAAACAAATCTTTAATAAAATGGACCTACAAGACCTGGTTCCCTGAGACCAAATGTTTTACGATAGTCAGTTTCAGTATTTCCCGACACCGATCAGCAAGTTAGCGTTCTGTATGTTGAGGAAGTATTTAGTTCTATTTAATCACCTCCTTCCCGAATTTTTCATTAACAAAGATTTACATTATATCCTTCAAATAATACAAATAAATAAAAGTTTTGTGACAGCAGCAACTTAGATGTTGCCAAATCAGTACTTACAAATCCTTGAGCCTCTAGCATTCACTTATGTGAATTTGACTGCTATTGGCTTCAATTCCTTTGATTACTTCTTATTTGGGTGGAGTACAATCTTACTATAAAGCAGAACAGATGATAATTATGTAAAACAAAGTTATAAAGACTGCCTAGCAGTTGAATAGTTAATTTACAGGAGTGAAAAGGCAGTGAAATACAGTAAAGACTGAAAACCAAAGCAGCTTTTACAAAAACACTAACGCATGTTATCAAGTTTGAATCCTCCCATGCTATCTACTCCTGCAAACACATTAACTATATTCTGTTTTTAAAAACAAAGTATTGCCGGCGCCGCGGCTCACTAGGCTAATCCTCCACCTTGCGGCGCCGGCACACCGGGTTCTAGTCCCGGTTAGGGTGCCGGATTCTATCCCGGTTGCCCCTCTTCCAGGCCAGCTCTCTGCTGTGGCCAGGGAAGGCAGTGGAGGATGGCCCAAGTGCTTGGGCCCTGCACCCCATGGGAGATCAGGATAAGCACCTGGCTCCTGCCTTCGGATCAGCGCGGTGCGCCGGCCGCAGCGCGCCAACTGTGGTGGCCATTGGAGGGTGAACCAACGGCAAAAGGAAGACCTTTCTCTCTGTCTCTCTCTCTCACTGTCCACTCTGCCTGTCAAAAAAAAAAAACACAAAAACAAAGTATGAAACATCTGATATACACAGAGTCCATTCTTAATCTCAACTGCAAAACAGATTCTCAGCTTTCTCAAATCTGTAACACTTTCATAGGCCTTTTACTCACAACTGGGATTGTTGTCATTTCGCAGAGTTCATGACATGAAATTTAGGAAGTCAGAAAGCTGTCCTTCGCAATTGTTTCCATAATGAAACAAGGTTTGGTTGCCCCACTGAAGGATCTTAGAGAGACCATCACTCTTTTCAGGCTCCTGATTCCATGAACGTCTCCATGAACGGACAACGACAATATAATCCTTGGAATGACTCCAGCATCACATCTTTGTCTAGAAATTTGAATTACCAAGTTTTATAAAATACTGATTCTAAATGCTGCATAGTCTCACAAGTACTTTTCCCATCAGCAACCGTGAATGTTACTTTCAAAGCCTACACTAAGACCCTGCAGTCAGATTTTTCTACCACTTCTTTGAGTAAGTTCCCACATGTGAATACAGACAACTGTATCTTAGTACTTTAGTTGTATTCTATCAAAAGACTGTAATGCTCTTAATTCCACATTGGAAATACTATTCAAAAACACCAATGGTGGCCTGTGTGTACAAAATTATCATTTAGATTCCTACCACTCCTCATGAATCTGGCCACAACAATGACTCTGGTCTGCTCATCCTCCTTGATGGTAACTCTCTTTAAAGGCAAAAAATGTGGGTCAATATGAATACTGGGTGGAATGTATGGGGAGTTGGGAATAAGAACATTCACTGAGAAAGACTGAAAACAACTACAACATTGAAAAGAATGAGGCAAGAGGAATAGAAATCACATCCTTGATCTGAAAAATATTCATGACCAGGAGCAGAAAAGTCTATGTACATCTCCTATAATTTCCCCAGCACAACTTAAACATTTTGGAACTCTTAACTTCTTCAAAGATGGAAAACAACAATATCTATCTCCTTTCCATTGTTAACAATGACTTGTACTTGAATGCTCTTATGATTTTTTTAAAAACCTTTCATGTTTCCCTCATAATATGCCAAGAAGAAGGTGGAATACTGATGGTTATGTGAACAGACGACTTACACGGTAGTATTAGAAAATGAAAACAGTCCTTTGGTTTTTATTTCGGTGAGCCTCCTCTGACACTCCTTTATTACAGAAGCATGTAGAGATAAGAAAAAAGAAAAAAACAAAGTAACACTCTACAATCAGAATGCCTTGCTGTCTAAGATCAAGTTAAATGAAGAGAAGGCAGATCTATTACTACCTGAAATAACCTTAGTACAAACAGAACTGATGCTGCAGCATAAGATTAGGAAATGGTCCCCCAAACAATCTCCAAATTCTTCACTTTCACATATCCAGAAGCCAACCAATGGACCCTGGCTTCCTAAGAACAACAGGTACAGGTTCTAACTTTGAAAGCCTTGACATGGTTTGGCTTCCAGGAAACTGGCATTGATTCAGAAAACCCATTCAACATTGCATCAGATGGCTGTAACAGGATGAATCTGGAGTGGTAACAGAATTCACTGCAAAGAAGTAGAATTTTCTTCAGGCTCACTGGTGAGTACATTTCTAGCATTAAAGAACAGAGATCTAAACACCAGGAGGGACTGATCTGTAATAAAGTTACCTAATAGTAAACTTCAAGTAAATCACTGATGGGATGATTTTGTAGCATTTTTGCACCATAATGCATGGAGCCAAGGCCAAAGACAAGAAGGATCATCTCCCTACATTCCTAAAACTTAGACCAACCAATCACTGGTTCATTCCGCTTTTAAAGAGCCAATTAGTGGCCAAAATAACTAGAAATACAATATTCCAAATAGAATTAGTTAGTTTGATTATATCAGCTTCCATATTCCTTACAAAGTACCTCAAAATTTCCCACCAAAACATGCCTAATGGCAGCAGAACTAACGATGCAATTTGAATGGACTTATCCATTATTATGGGTGGGAAATTGAACCTGAAATGGCTAAGATGTGTAGAAGAAAACTAGTGTATGGTGGAGCCAGGACTTGCCCAGGGCAATCTAACCAGACACACCATTCTTAATCCTAATTACCGTTCAGTACTATGTGCTCCATATTTTCCATGACATTCTGTTCAGAAGGTCACTTTGTCTCTAACATCATGAGTTTATTATCCTGTGAGTAGATG